AATGAACTGCTTACCACCTCCAGCCAGCCATTCACTAGCTTGCTCACAACTGATCTGCCCGACGACCTTCCACCCCATTCTCCTGTGCATTACAAATTCTCAACCTGATGATATGGTGCTGATGTAGAAGTCCTTCAAGTGACTGCTCTTCTGGCTAATGCACAGGCAGCCCCAGCGCTCACGTTTCCTTATTTGGGTGTGGTCATAAACAGTAGTTTCCAAATGACTACCTCAATTATTTTAAAGTATGACCATGCCATGTCAACTTCAGGGAGGCCCTTCCTATGGGGAAAAAGTACATCCTCTTTGATCCTCCATCTGAAATCTGCAATGAATCTAAATGACCTTGATGTGAAACTCTTTTTTCTTACCTTGGAGAAGTCATCCTAATTTTAAGTTGTTTAGCTTTTTCTTAGATCAGCAGTTCTCAACCTCCCTCGTGCTGTGACCCTTTAATACAGTTCCTCATACTGTGGTGATCCCTAATCATACAATTATTTTCATTGCTACTTCCTAACTTTAATTTTGCTACTGTTATGAATTGTAATATCAATATCTGATATACAGGGTATCTTATCTGTGACCCCTGTGAAAGGGTTGTTAGATGGCTAAGAGGTCATGACCCACATGTGAAGAGCCACTGTCTTAGATGATAGAAGTTGGCACATGAGAACCCTCCTGGACAGTTTTCATGTTCTGTCTATATCTAATTGTTTATTATATCCCACTTCTCTTAAGCTGCCTTTAAGTTCCACCCCACACTGTGTGTTCTACCACCCAGTTCATAGATGTGTGCACTGGTCAACAACCCTGCAATACATAGCATGCAAACCGATGCTCGTTAAACTCTCACAAACTGGGTACCACTGTGAATATCTGTATTAATTCTTCAATCTCTGCAACCCTGAAGCATGACTGATAAAAACTCAAAGAGCAATATTGGGGTTCATCTTGAACATCCGAAAAGCAAAGCAGCCAGCCACTGGTTCTTACCTCAACTTCAGTCTGAAATGGTGATTCCGCCTCCAGAAATCTCAGAATGAGACTGTGACTGTAAACTATCTCCTCCCGTTTTATAATCCTCTCTAGGGCTAGGATTAAAGTCATGCACCACCGGGATTAAAAAGTATGTACTGCCTGGTTTCTATGGCAACTAGTGTGGCTACTGGGACTAAAGGTGTGTGTTACCACTGCCTGATCTTTAAGACTGACCAGTGGGGCTGTTTAACTCTCTGATCTTCAGGCAAGCTTTAGTTATTAAAATATAAATGAAAAATCATTACATAACTCTGTGATGTAAATATCAGGGAGTTGAAGCTCAGAGCCACTAACCTCCCGTTACAGCTACAGAAGACATCTAGGGAACAAACTAAGAGCTGCCTACTTCTCAAACCATAAGGATATACTGTTTCCTCACATATTTCCAAACAGACCCTTTAAACCTAGAAACTTAATATTTTTCAGTCAAAAGAACATATGTTGTGAAACACACCCAAAGTAAACGGCTGATCTAGTCCCAAATTCAAACAATGATTTCTCATGCCTGCTTTTCCAGCTTGGATCTATTAATTTGTTATTTTTCCTTATTATCAGAAGTGCTATTTCTGTTTAAGTGCTGCTGATTTGGAAGTCATTCTTATGACTAAATATCTGTCCGCCTGTAAGAGCCCAGGCCAGGGCTCTGCTGCCAGTAGGTGCTCAGATTAATGGATGGCTGTGTAGGTCTATGTGGGAGTCTGGCACTTAGGTTCTGCCCAGCTCCTCGAAAGCAGCACAAAGGATTCGGAAAGATGAACATCGCAGATCACCACCCCACTACGACGATGGGTTTCCGGACTGCACTGTTAGCTGAAGCATCCCAAAGGCTCAGTTGCACCAGTGAGAATATCACTCATGTTTTTCCCTCTCTTCGGAAACAGTGCGGGATGTTGTGAGATGCCACAGCCATTTTGAAGACTAATATCAAATATCAGAGAAAATTTGCTTTCCTGATGAGCATTGGGGAAAGCTAAATATTTTTAATTGACACATTTCCTATTATTGCATATATATACATATACATATATATGTATATATATGATGAGTAATAAGCTACATCAGATTTTTTTTTCAAACTGTCAGAACGAGAGATGAAGCAGAAGTAGCTCTCCAGAGAAGCTGCTGTGAACTGGAGCAGTAGAAAATAACAGTAAGCAGCCATACGTTCATTTACTACCGAGACATCCCTGAAAATTGTGAAGAAACAAAAGCTGTTTTCTTCCAAAATGCATGGTGGGGGCATTTCTAGAAGAGAAGAAGGAGGACAATGACTTCAACTTACTTCACAAAGAAAAGGTCACATGCTCATGTGTTCACTCAGAAACATTCCTTTGGTAGAGTCTGTCCGCCTAGGGACTTAGGAGACCGTGCCTACATTCTGAATGAGCAGCACTGGACATCACGGGAAACCTCAGCCGAGTTCTAGGATGTCAGAGCACTTGCCTGCAATATCAAACTCTGCGTTGTCTTAAAAAGACAGTGGTAAAGGAATGCCCCTTGTTACCATCCTGCTCAGGCTGGGCTAGATGTACTAATAATTTGTAGAGATCATCCTAGTGAGCTCACCCAAAGGCCCTGACTCTGCACAGGTCTGGCTCTTCCCATCTGCAGGAGAAGATGAAGACTCTTTTCTCAGGGCTGATCTTGACTCTAGTATGCCACATTCTCCTTGGTGAATTCTCTTATGAAATGAGCATCTTTAATGGGAAAGCCCTTTGTGTCTCATCCCAGGCTTTTGATGAGCATTTCTTTATCTCTATCTTTTAAAAACTCCTTTTATTGTTTCAAACATCCTCTCTATCAAACTCCTTTGTTAATTAAGAAACTTGATGAATTGGGGATGTTTTGGAACATGAAAGAAGAGTTTGTTTCATTACTATATTTCTTTACACTGTGGACATGCATCATAGCTTACCAATTTCTCATCCCAGAGAAAGAGCTTTGAGAAAAAGCAACCAAAAAGGTGTTAGGGAGGTCGGTGTTGGTATTATGGCCTGGAGTGATTGGTCTCTGTGTTTGCTACTTAAAAAAATATAGAAATCGGGAAGCTCACATGAACAAAAACTTGCAGAATATATATGCCAAAAGTATTGATGCAAAATTATAAAAACCATTATCCTAAAATGAGAGTTGAAAAGACATTTCTCATTACCCGTGGCTAGAGCCCTATCGGCAGCCTGATTGGTGGTGAGAGAGCATGAGGAAGCCCTACCATGGGAAAGAAAGCCCAGTTCTTTAGTGTTGACTCTCCCAGGAAACCCTCAAGGAGCTGCTGACATTCCTCTCCAAGGAATCAATGAATCCGTTTCTATCTGTCTGTTCCCTTGACCTTACTTTGTTTTGAATCAGAGAAGGGAATTAACTGTTGCGATGGGGAGCATAAGGAGAGCCTGCAGAATCTTGAAGGAGATGCTGTGCTGGGGATCTACGTGCGAGACCACCATTTGCTGATAGACACCCCGGATGTATTACTTGTTTGTTATATTATTATTTGTGCCTGTTTCTCATTTCAGATTCTCACCCTGTTGTAATAAATAACTGTCTTCCCAGCCATCATTCCATATTGACAAGCAAATGTCACCCATGTTTGATTGACATCTATTGCTCCTGAATGCAGAAGTATGATTTAGGAATCAATTCAACTTATTTATTTAAAACCATTCTTATGTGTCAAATGTATTTGTTGGTCGTATACCCCTCCTAATACCCACTTTGGGGGTCTTCTATTGATATTCTAAATTCAGAAGGTTTCTTCATCCAGAGCTTTCACTGTTAGGGGTGATAGCCTTTCTTTGTCATAATTTTCTACTTCCCCTCCCCCAATTCACATCTGGGGAATGGCTATTGCACCTACAGAACTCTCTCTGTGTCTTCTGAAACCTGGCACTTTTGCAAACGCCATTCACTTTATTGTAAGACCTTCGAAGGCATATGGAAAGTGATTATTTCTCCTGCATATTGCATCTTTAGGCAAATGCAACTTCAAGTTCAATGACGGTTTGACGGAATATTCTGAAGGGCAGCTGCGATTGGAAGCCCTTAAGTCAAAACGCTCATTGTTTGTCACCTTTGTGTGGCACGCATAAGAAAAACCAGCCCTCCTCCCTTTGGGCGGTGGACATGTTCATTTAAATCAGGAAATGTCCCTTGGTTTTTAAATACATACTTTACTGTTCTCGGGGTAACATCTTATTTCATTTAGGATGCTGTGGAAGCAAATGCTAAGGTTAAAAAAAACCCCGCACATCTACTGTCTGGAAAAATTGGAAAGGGCCATCCTTATGTTAAAAGTGGCATTTGAAAAACACCTGAAGCACTGATTGTGGATGAGCCAGGAGAGAAATATTGTCACCAAACCTCCCTCCTTTCAACCTTCACTTCCATCTCCAACAAGGGCTGCAGGCTCTTGGGAAATAGATTTAGGTGTGACCCTTGAGTCCCGAGAGCTGTTGCCCAGCTGTCTCACTCCCTTAGTATGTCCAGCTAGGGCGCTGCCATCGCCTGGGTTAGATGAGGGAGTATTCAGGATTTCACTGTTCATCCCTTGCAGAGAGGGGGAAAAAAAAAGAGAGGCCGAAAAAAAAAATCCCACATTGTCAGAGTAATGCCAAACTCTGTGTGAGTGGGATGAGCAGAGCAGATGCTGCAGAGAGATGCCAAAGCGGCTCCCCTTCCTCTGTGCCTTGGGTTCCTATAAATTGCTCCGGCGCGCGTTTGTCAGCCTCCTCTTCTCCTGGCAGGTGGTACCCAGGCAGAATTCTGCGTTCAGCCTCTCTCGTTCGGCTCTCGCTGTTGCTGGCTAGCTCCTATCTCCAACCCTGAGCTTCTCTGAGCCGCTGATCGAGCACACCGGCACCGCTCCGCACATCTCGGGGGCGCCCGACCTGAGCTCCCTCAGCCCACTAGGGGCTTTGGGGTTGCACTTCTATTAGAGTTGTGGTGGCTGCAAAAGAGGAAGAAAAAAAGAAAGAAAAGAGGCAAGGGACAAACCCAGCCAGAGAAAGAAAAGAAACAAGGTCCAGGAAAAAAAAAGGCAACTTCAGACGGAAAGTTGGTGAGAACTGGCGCAGTCTGCAAAAAAGGAAAAGTCGATCACCGGCAACAGCACCATAAAAGTGTGAGACGCCCGGGGCGAGCTCAGGAGGCAGCGGCTGGCTCTGCCCTCCGGGTGGGGTGGCCGTGCCGGCACCCGCCGCAGCTACAGGTGCGAAGGGGCTGGCTGGAGGCGAGAGGGCGCCCTGAGCACCCCTCCCCCAGCCCTCACCCCCCGCTCGGGACTTCAGATCAAGTCACTTGGCGCCCCAGCTCCCTCCCCAGCCGCAGCCTCAGCGGGGGGAGCAAAAGCCGGAGAAGAGCGACCGGCGCGCGCCCGCCCAGGGGAGTTGGGGTTCGAAGGGGGATTGTTTTCGGCTCTGAGGAGGTCCCCGCCCAACCTTCAAAATTTTGTCCAAAAGCAGACAAGAGGATCGGCCCGCGCTGAGCCGGCTCGTGGGCAGCAGGAGGCGCCTAATCGCCGCCGGGGCGCTGGGGGTGGTGATGGTGCTTCTGCTGGTCATCCTCATCCCGGTGCTGGTGAGCTCGGCCGGCACGTCGGCGCACTACGAGATGCTGGGCACCTGCCGCATGGTCTGCGACCCTTACGGGGGCACCAAGGCTCCCAGCACCGCCGCCACTCCGGACCGCGGCCTCATGCAGTCCCTCCCCACCTTCATCCAGGGTCCCAAAGGCGAGGCCGGTAGGCCGGGGAAGGCAGGCCCGCGTGGGCCCCCCGGAGAGCCCGGACCACCGGGCCCTGTGGGCCCCCCGGGAGAGAAGGGCGAACCTGGCCGCCAAGGCCTGCCGGGCCCGCCTGGAGCGCCCGGCCTGAACGCGGCTGGAGCTATCAGCGCGGCCACCTACAGCACGGTGCCCAAGATCGCCTTCTACGCTGGCCTCAAAAGGCAACACGAAGGCTACGAGGTGCTCAAGTTCGACGACGTGGTCACAAACCTCGGAAACCACTATGATCCCACTACGGGCAAGTTCACCTGCTCTATCCCGGGTATCTACTTCTTCACCTACCACGTCCTGATGCGCGGAGGGGACGGCACCAGCATGTGGGCTGATCTCTGCAAAAACAACCAGGTGAGCGCGAGCAGGCAGTGGGGAGGGCGGGGAGCGAGTGCGGGAAGGTGCGAGCAAGAGGGAGGAGACCCCGGAAATGGGGGTGGGAGGCCGCTGAGGAAGGGCGCGGCAACCCGGCTCCTGGGAGCGAGGGCAAGGGAGACTCTGTGACAAGCTGGAGAGGTGGGGGTCGTACGTGAAGGAGCCCGAGGAGGGTGGTTCTAGGGTGTCAGATCCGTGCTCGGTGCGCGAAATTGTGAGCACGACCCTCGAAGGGTGAGAAACTGGGAACTTGTCTCTGGGACAGCTTGTGTAAAAGGGGAGTCCTGGAGCTGGGCAAAATTCCTGGCCGGTGAAATCCTCAGCGGCTTAGAGTGGCTTAGAGTCGTTTACAGCTTTCCCTGAGAATGTTGAAGGCTTTCGGAACCCGAAATGGGCGTGTCTGGGCTCCAGAGCCAGGGGAGATAGACCTGAACCCCAGGGAAAAAGGAAGGACCCCTTAGAGTGAGTCTGAGATAGCACTCCGGGGCTCAGACAGCACTTTGCCGCGCGCGCACAAAGGTTTGGTCCTCCGGAGCTCTTAGGCAATGAAACTCAGAGTCACTTTACACTCCAGTTAGTTTCCCAAGGAACGACTGCTGGGAAAAGGAAAAGTTGGGTTTACGCGGTACAAGTACAGCAGCTCGCACCCAGACACGAAAACCCCACTCCACTGTTTGGAGTAGGAAAATACACAGGAATATGGTTGGGAAGGTGGCGGGGCGCAACCTTTTTACTACCCTGGAGCCCCCGGGATACTCTGGTAGACGCTTTCTAACCCTAACCTTCTTGATCTCAGCTGCCTTGCCTTGGCTGTCAAATAGCATCAGATGAGCCCCAACCCGGAGCTGCTCTTCAGAGCTGGTGGGTGGTGGCACAGAGGCCACTGGTCTGCAGTGCCGGCCAAGAATACTCTGCCTTTGCTAGAGTCAAAGGCAAGTCAGTGCAAAACCGAAGCATTCTTGATCTTTTAGCCACAGGAGAAAAATACATTTCCATCTAAAAATGTAATCGGATTTTCTGCACAGTCCAAGTCGCTGACACCAGGGCGAGGCCTTGACACTTGTAAGCCTGCTGTGTGAACGTAGTTCCTGAGCCCTTAAACTTTGCTTCCCGACTGAGAGGAAGAAAGACCCCACCATAGCCCTCAAGATGCCTCATTTCAGGCAGTAATTTTAACTTAACAAGAACTGGTGTGCTGCAGGTCTTCAGTCCTCCGGAAACCCGAATTTTAGCTAAATCCCAGTCTTTTCCTGAGCACCTTGAGGACCGCTTGGTTTTGTTTGTTTGTTTGTTCATTTTATCCCTTCTCAAGACCCAATTTAGTGCCAGAAATTTTTCAAAAGTAAAAGATGAATGTCCTAAATGTACGATACACTTTTTAAAAGTCCCTTGCTTCCTCTTTCCTGCAAACCCCTTAAAGAACCCCCAAGATACTAGGAACAACAACAAAAAGAAACATGGCCACCAGGAGGCACTGACAGGGTTGTTCGTTCCAGCCATTATGCATGAGAATAACACGAAGATAAATAAAAATTGTTCCTGGACCAGTGAGCTCGGTAGTTGCAGGTATGTGGTTACAAAGATTACTATACCAAAATAGAAGTGTTGTATCTGGCTGACCAAAGGGCTTGCGAATGCCAACCCTCCTCACCCTCCAGCAGGTAGCCATAGGGCCCCCCCTTTTTTTATTTATAAATTGACTCTGTCTGACTTAAAAGTTGGATCCATAAAACACTACTCTATTGGGGAGATATTTTTAGAGTCACCCACTGAAATGTAGTAGAATCCCTGTTTGGTCAACAAATGTAGAAATGGTAATTTTTAAAATATCCGGAGATTGCAAAGGCAGGAAGTCCTAGGAAGAAGCACAATGGAGTTAGTTGAGACCCTGGTGCTTAGAGGGTAGAGTCTGGCATAGATCCATGAAGCAAAGGATAGCAGTCTGTATACGGATTCTCAAGTGAAAACACGCACATGTTTTGTTCTCTAAACCATTGGGGCATGAACTGCTCGCTGTGGCCCCCGAGCATACAGATTCTCTTGGGATCGGGAAAGCAAGGAGGTTGAGCACCTCTAATGCCCGTCATTGGCTGCTTATTCAGTTGCTGCTACTTCCAAAAGTGGGTACCAGGTACTTCAGAAAAGTATATGACTAATGGCATTCAGCATCCTTCTTAGGTCAGTGTGGGCCGTCTTAGAAAAAGGTTGTTGCAATATTACAGCCAAGGAGTTTTGTCTTTAGAATAAAACTGCTTTGTAAAAGTCTGGGCTGCAGCCAGGGCCAAGTGGGAAATCTTGTAAAATCTCCTTTTTATTAATTTTAAATAAATATTTTATTCTTGATTTTCAATTATAGTCTGTATGGTTGTTTCTTGCAACGACAGTACCCCCCTCTGAGTGGAACTCATTTGTTTTGATCAAAACAGAAACTTAGAGCTCCATGTCAGAGAGGTGTTCTGTGGATTGAGTGGGTTGTGAGAAGCACTGAGAGGCAGCACCACAGGAAGAAAGCGGTTTTTCACTGTAGGAGGGGGCAGTGTCTGGATCGTAGCCATACGAGGGCCGTCCTTATTTATGCTTTGTGCTGAATGTAGGGTCACAGATGGAAACATCAAAGGTCAATACATTAACCTGATGTACCACTTAACCTTTTGTTTATGGTTCCACGGGAGTGCAATGAAAATGAAATCACCAGAACATCAGTTGCAATTAATTAAATTAGCAAATGTTACTGTAAATATTTTGTATAATGATAATCCCTCCAGAATAAGACAATGCTAAAACTATACAGCCTATTAGATTCTCACAAGCCTATCACTCCCTATAAAGGACCATAGTTTTCATATTCCCCATGAAACCATTAGCTTACACTTAATGGTATCAATTGTTCAGAGGCCATCACATTGCCTATTAAAAGTAAAAAAATGGAACTTAAATAGCTTTATATAGATACAGGAAGAATTCTTAATGCTTGCATTCTTGTAGTTAAAGACCTGGAAAAAATAGTTTCTGAGTATAGTTACTACATGTCATTATCGTAAGCCACCATAATAAAAACTAAATTGGCAGAAGATTAGTCATATAAAATAATTAGAGATACGCCTTTCACTCACAAGAATTTATTAGTTATGGTAACAATGGACATGAACTACATCGGAAAGAGTGAATACTGTGTGGTTTTATACTCATTTGTCAGAAAGAGTGATGATATGCCATGCCAAATTTATTCTCTCTTGAGAAGCAGAGAAACACATACTAAAGATAAAGCCGAAATGATACAGTTAACATACTAAGAAAAAGATATTAAAGAGAATTTAGGAAGAAGTAGATATACCGGGCTGAGAAAAGGATGCATCATACTCCCTGATAAAATGCTGAAATAGGTGCACATTTCGGAATCCGAAAATAGCCTTCAGGGTGAACACATTACCTCCCTTAATAGTGTGATGGCTTCAAAGAAGAATTGCTGAAGTCAGTGGGATACATATCAGAGCTTGAAATTCCAAGTCCCATTATACTCTGAGAGTGTGACGGGTGGGCAGGCTTCCTGACATCACGGACACTGGCAGACGGTGGGTATTTAACTGAAAAAGTCCTTTAGCGCTGCATAGGTTAAATTCTAAGGGAATTGCTCTTTATTATGAAGCCACGATACTGGCCTTCTCCAACAAAGGAAATAAAATGTGCTAAGGATAACTTTCTTGTCTGTGGAATCACACTAATGCATTAGCAGGATTCTGTGGTTTTACCTACTGAATTAAAAATGGTAATGCTACTTGGTTTTGTGGCTATATTCTATAGAATAAAAACTGTATTGTATGTTTTTAAAAGATTACAGCCTCTAAATTAAAGAATTCAATGAGTCCTGGTTCCTAAAGTTTTCATGTAGACAACAATGATAATGGATAACATTCATAGAACATATTCTAAATATTCAAAATGCTGAACAAACCATATTCTCATTAATAATAGCTGAGAAGTATAATAGTTTGATGATTAATTAACATATTGCTAATACAGATAATTTATAGTTTGTATTTTAATTTTTCACAGTCATTAAAAGTCCCCATGTTCTAAAAGTCAAGCCATAATGATGATACTCTCATTGTGTAGTTTTTCTTCACTGGGATTTAATAACTAGATGAAATAAATGAACTAAAGCCTTCAGCTTCTACAAACTGAAGATTAATTCCTAGGAAATATTATGAACTCCAAATGCATTATTATGTAATGGTTAAAATGGATCACCTCACTAGTGGTGCACACATTTGAATCAAGGCTTTTTAGTATAATCATACAACATATTGGTTTCATTATATTAATGCCAGTTAGCATAGTGATAAGTAATTCTAAATCCTTTAAGCCCTTTTCTCCTTTTGCTATATGATACTCAGAAAGAAAAAAATTAGAGTACTGCTCAAATTACTTTCCAAGTTCAGTGGTGTCCAAGAGCCTTCTCCTCTTATGGCATTTCAGCATTGATGTGAGAACATATCGTCCCATGAAAATTTAATTTGAAAACCCATCAGTTAGATTTTGAAAGACATGCATGGAAATTCTTGACTTATGTCTCATTTCTCTCATTTCGCCAAGTGATAAAACCTCGCATATTATACCCCAAGTCATACATTATTACATAGTGCAGGTTTACAAAAACCACTAAATCACTTGCTATGTTATTCAGGGAAATACCATTATAGCAGAACCGAAACAAGCCACAGAGTAGAAGACGTGTTACTGAAATAAATCACACACAAGCCTGCCTTTTGAAAGATTTTTTCCCCCATGGTGGAATCAAAATATGTCTAAAGGAAGCCGAAGGACAGAGTGCGACAGAATGTCTGTTTGACATGATAGGATGGGCAATTTGACTTTTTGCTAATGTTGATCAACTCTCTAATGAGACTAAAGGCAGAACATAAGCAGATTATAGTCAGCTCCCAGCCTCAGAGCCAGATGCATTTACAGTCACACAGTTAGGAAAAGCTAGGCAGCAATACATACAGAAATCCTAGAGGACTGAGCAATTGTGGGTCACAAATTTAATTCTTTCTAAAACTTTTGGATCTCATGAGATTATATTATTGATTTAAAGGAATATGTAATTAAATGTCAAAAACATAAAAAATAAAAGGAAGTTTGGAAATGTGGGATATATGAACAAAGACATTTACATGAGCTAAGCTGCTCTTAGGAGCATGGTTAAAGGGGGCTTTGCTTGTATCAGATTTCCAAATCTCTAAACAAAAAAATTCTCCCCTGCCCCATCTATATAGCAACAGAGTGGCATTTCCCTAGGTCTTTTGCCACTTGAGATATCAGCTTTCTAATAATTGTGATGAACCATTGACGTATACAGCTGGTTGGAATGTTGTTACTTGGCTTAAATTAAAATGCAAAACAATACTGCCATTTCCATTTCAAAAAAATGACTGAAAGTGGAGAGTCAAGGAATTAGAAAAAGCAGTAATCAAAGAGAAAATTGGATTGGTATGCTTTATTTACAAGGATAGAAAAGATTGCTGCAATGTCCTTTATTAAAGCGACATTTTCTCTTCTCTAGTAACAGAGTTGATACATAACATAATTGTTACAGAAATTCCTTCTAAAGCCGTGGGACCAAAGGCAGCATCACTATTCTACATTCTATGCTATAGTAGCAAGTCTGCCGTTATGCAAAAGGGGCAACTTGAGGATTCTCTTTTGCAAACTCTAATTCTTGTCTGTTTCACATAGGTGCGTGCTAGTGCAATTGCCCAAGATGCTGATCAGAATTACGACTATGCCAGTAACAGTGTGGTCCTTCACCTGGAACCAGGAGATGAAGTCTATATCAAATTAGATGGTGGGAAAGCCCATGGAGGAAACAACAACAAATACAGCACATTTTCTGGATTTATTATTTATGCTGACTGATAATGCAGAAACTGAGCTTGCTGTTCTGAGTTTGGACGCTGGATTCGTGTGGCTAACGTCAGTGAATCAAGGATCCCGGGGGATGCCGACTGCAGGGCATCTCGGTTGTATAAATGTGGGGAGATCAAATGCTACCTGACTCACATCTGTATCACTCACACACATTATGTAAAAAAGTATTTAAGGCAAGATAAGCAGATGTGTGATCCACTACCGCCAAAGCAAATATTCCTTATTGTTAGTGTCCGTGTGAATGAAATCCTATAGAGACCACAAATTTTTATAGAAAAATCTAAGACACTGAGTTATTTCTTCGATATCTCTAATACTTTGGTGTACTGTGATCTTGCTGCCTTTATCCATGTGTCAGCTTTGGTTCTTGTGAGTTTACCTGCTTATTAAGATACCTGGAGTCTATCTGTAGTGTGGGGAGTCATTTTACCCTGCAGGAGAAGGTCTCATTGAAGTAATGCTGCTTGTCCCCAAAGATATTGTTTGCCTTGTACTCTCGTTAACTTTAGAGTTAGACCTGGGAATGATTCAACTTCAAGCCTTAACCTGGAATTTTCTGGATTTGTGGGAATTCCCAAGCCTGTGATCATTTTCACAGTTTTTCTTTTCATGTGAATTTTAATTTTTCTCTCTTCTGGTGATAGTCTTAAGAAAATAGAGATTGAAATTGTATCATAGGATTACCCTCTAAGTGTGAAAATGTGTAGTTATGTATGGTACTTTAGAAAATTCCACGTGTCCATTTCGTCGATAGAATACATTTAGACTCACTTGAACAGTCACAGAAATTTATTCTTTGGTATGAAGTCAGATAGAGGCTTTCGCCTTCTCTGGAACAAAGGATTGTTCGTAAGCTAAGGCATCAAGGTTTGATTTGAGCTGCTGCATGCGTCATCAAGGGGACAGTAAGTAAGGCCTCAAACAGTTACCGAAAAATCTGTGGCCTGAAGTTATTTCAAAATTAACAGTTTCACATAGAACCAACATGACAGTAAAGTGTATATATTTTATATAAATATCTGTCACACACTTATTTATATACATATGTGTTAGATGAAATATTATATATACATTGCTTCAGTCCACTAGGTACAGTGGCTGTACAGCTCAAAAAGCTAATTTAAAAAGTATATATGTATACACACAGAACCATGGACAAATTATTTGACTTATTTTAGATCGAACTATATTTTAGATGATACAAATATATAGAGTAGCAAAATAATAAAAGTGAGTTCTCTTTAAGAGTTATCCAGAAAATGAAATCTCAGTAGATTCAAATGTGCCCCCCTCCATGACACATGTGTGAGTTAGTTGATCCCATGATTACTGGATTCCATGTGCAATCGATATTTTAATGGCCTTCTCTGGCAGGCCATTAATAAGGGACTTCAGGAAGCAAGCAGAGCTCCTTCACGATGTTTATGGAACACACACATGTGAGCGGTCAGTTCTTTTCTTTCTGGAGGATTGAAGCTGCCAGTGTAGAGCAAACCCATTCTCTCTAGTTAAAACACACTGCCAAGCGCTAGCTCTTATCTAAGGAAAAGATAAAAATGCATGCGAATACTTCCTCCTAGCTCACAACTTCCCCTCGTAACATGGAAAATCTGTTTCCCTTTTCATTGCCTTTAAACACTCTTTGACAAGTAGATTTCAAAACCAGAGATTTGAAAGTCTGCTTGCTTTCCTGGTGAAGGACATTTGCATTTTTCCCTTAAAGGAATTGGGCTGCTCCCCTGACTCATCTCACTTCAGCACTTTTTGTTCTAATACACAGAGTGCTTGGTCAACTATGATCAACTAAATAGCTTTAGTTTAGCAAATCTCAACTTTCCAAGAGTTATGCATGGTGTTCCCATCTAAAGGCGGTGTTTGCTGTGTTTAAATGCCTTGGTCTGAGTAACTGTCATGATTTATATGATTAAAACAAACCACTTGGATCACTCATCGAGAGCAGTGACTAATTCGATTTGGCCCTTCTAATATGTATGGTAACTCACAAATGACTTGCCACAGTTTTAATTTCTATTTAACAGCATATATTTATCAAAGATGGATTGGCGGCAAGGGATTAGATTTGTCTTAGGTATCAAATCACAGAGCGAGGATTCAAGGGATAACTTACACACAACAGTGTACATCAATTAAGCATTTTAACTAACATTTTGAAAGGCTTCCTTTGCAAAGAACTTCATAGCTGGAGCTCTTCTAAAGAGGAGTATTTACAGACAGACTGTCATTTCCAATAGACCTGACCTTTCCTTAGATAAATAAGCATTATTTTCTCTGTTTAGGCCTGAGGAAAAAGAAATAAAAAGTAAATGAAATAAAGGGACTATATCTAAGGCAAGCATTTCTCTTTTTCTTTGCATTATACCTTATGAATTGATTAAATCGTGGCCTTTGTTATTATTACTGTAATGATCCATTAAAATATATTATGTAATATATTTTTATTTTTATGATTTCATTTTTATAACGCATTGTGGTTATGTATCCTCAGACAGACTTTGCAAAACACAACACAATTAACAGCAAAACTGGAGACGGGAAAGCCAGAGTCAGCAAAACTGATTTATTATAAGTTTACATAGATAGATGGAAACCACAGTTAACTTCTCAAAAATATTTTTATTGTTGTAAACTGGTAATTTCATTGCCATCTCCTCTGGGAAAGAGAGCCTCAGAATTTAACTTCCCCTGTTGCAAAAGTGATTTTAAAATGCCATATTATTCATTAAGCATTAATTAAAGAACAGCAGGATAATGAGTAGGATCATCAATATTACAAGAAACATTAGATTGCTCCAGAAGGGGGCAACTTAACTAGAAACACTTTAATTTTTCTCAAGTAGTGTAGTGAGAGTCGGGGGGGAGGGGGGAGATGGAAGACATCCACAATGACTCTTGGGATATATAGATGTTCGGGAACATAGTCTTTTGTATTTGTTTTATAAAGGTAAAGCAATAGGACTCACTTGAGCCCTGTAGCCCCCACCAGAGCTTTCCCTGTGATAGGTATCCAGTTTCTCATAGGAGGGAAGTGATCAGTCACTGGTCCCGTGGAGCTTGGATTAACGTCTCAGAGTAGATTTGAAATCACCGAATATCCACTGCAAATCTTACCCTGGAGGTCTGTGTTCAGAAACAGCCACCCTATTTAAAAGTTAGCCATCGCCTAGGGTTTTCTATGAGGATCTTATCGACAACCCTCTCAGCTACTCCTCTAAGGAGCATCTTAGGAACAATGTTGGTGAGAATATGTGAGTAGCCATGACCTCCGTACTTCATCAGTCGGTGCTTCGTGTGTATGTCATGCGCCATGAGAATCCGATCTTCATAGCCCTCATCCACCAGGAAGCGGACCCTAAGAAAAACACGTTAACTCGTGACAGGCCACCAGGCTCACATTTTAGACGATAACCTTTCACTCCGGAACACACTGTGCTTCGTAAAGATTCTGCCTTTCGCTGCGGCATATGGACCAGGAGATTCTAAATGAACACTGCGTGGCGAAGATGCAGGTGTTACTTCATGCCAACATGAATGAGATCCTTATTCTGAGCACACAGCCATTTCTACCCAATGAGATTTCTGACAGTGTCTGGCAATGCTGCACCGAAGAGAGCTTACAGTGGTCAGGCCGTTTGAATGAATGGCCACAATAGCAGTTCATTGAATAATTTTATATTCAGCTCTCCTCCCTCAAATGCTTGACTTAGTCTCAATTCTGAAATACCATTCTCTCTCTCCCCTTTTAAAGCCAGTGGGCGTTTGCGATTAAAATAGAGAAACAAAAGGATTCTTCATGTGAATAAAATCCTGCGAGTAAGATCAGCTGATTGTCAAGTGCAAGGCCCGTGCCATGTGGTTATGTAGTCAATGAAGACGGACTGGCAAAGTCCTCTGTATTCGAGCCATCTGGTCCTCCGAACACAGGAATTCTGACTTAGTGGTAGCCTCTGAGCGTTAGCAGAAACTGACCTAAAGTTTTTTAGTCTATCTTCCTTGTCAACAAGGAAGCTCAAATAACAAGCTGCCCCTTTAAATCCATAGTCGGTTGACTAAAAGACAGCTCCCTGACTGTAAAAAATAAATAATAAAATAAAAGTAATCCTCTTTGCCTAGTTAAGAGCTGTAATCTGCAGCATGAGTCACCCCCTGACAGCCACCATCTGTACGCGTCTGCACTCCGGGCAGTGTCTTTCCCTGACCGCAGTGGACCTTTGATGTCAGAGGTGCAACTTGTGAACAATGGCTTTTCTCTGGGATTCTGTGCAGTCTTGTGAGGATCGCCTATCAAATGGATGTAGGTGGATGGATCTCGCTCTTCCTCTGGGGCTTGGCTGAAAACTCTTGTTTTGATGGATAGATAGGATCATTTCTTGGCTTGCTCAGGCATGAGTCCTGTTTAATAACTACTGTGGTACTCAAGGGACACTACACACAAAAATCCATGGCACAAAAGCCTGCCCTCATAGAACCTTTAAAATAAGTTACAATTGAATCCTAGATCTATCTGAAGGTCAAAGGAATGTAGGCACCATAGTGAAGAACCAGTCTGGGTAGTCAGGGAAGAAACCAGCATTCAGCAGGCACAACCCATAATCTCATTTAGGCCACTAACGCTATTTGGCTTGCTAAAATTGGTCCTGAAGTCCTGATCTGCAGGTACTTTTTGAAAACAAAACAAAACAAAACTGTAGTTCAGGGGGATTCGCTAAGATCATTTGTATGGCCATTTATCATACACAGGGAGAAGTTTGATAGAATACACGTGCAATCCAGAGCCTAGGACGACACTGATCAGAATGGAATGTCGCAGTAATGGGGTCTTTTCGGGTGCACTTGCTGCCTGACTGATTTTCCTGAGCAGTTCTCAGGGTTGTACATATTTCCTTATTATCTGAGAACTGTATCTCCTGTTGCAGGTGTAGCAAGCTTAGGCCTAATGCATCACAGACTCTGGGCTCAGTCCCCAGCACTGCCTATAAGGATGGGGTAGAGACACACAGGTCTGTAATGGAATCCCACCCAGAGGCTGAAGTTGGGGGAGCTGGAGTGAGACTTCAGGATTACCTGGCCTTAGGCCACGTCAGGGTTGCACGCCTGACCTATTTCAGACTTTGGTTTCCCCAAAACAACAAAAGAAAAGCTGGGTCATTCCTCCTCAAGCTGAGGCTGTGATTCAGCAGTAGAGTCGTTGCTTCTCCGAGAATTTTGATGTGTCATTACTATGACAACATACAACGAAAAATTCCTATAACATACCTGTATCCCACCTTGAAACACAAGGTTCTTAAATGGAAAGTTATAAGAGAGAATAATAGATAGATTAAATGCATGTAATTAAAAATGAGAGCCATACAAAATTGTAACACCACCCCAGAAAAGGAGAAGAGAAACTTGGGGACCTTCTCTTCCTATTTTGGTTAAACTATGAATAAATTCATTTTCGGGGGCAGGGCAGAGGAAACGTGTAGAAAGCACAATGCAGTCACTGCGCCAGAGCTGTGTTATCTCATGGGCACAATAACGTTCTGGTTCCAGAAACACAATCATGCCGATCGGGAGCGGAATGCGCCTGGACATGCCTACCCTGAGAGTTCAACTCTGATGGTGCGGCACCGTGCAGAAGAACAGGCATGACAAAGAAGCTGCCAGAAGGGAGGAACCACTACAGATGAGAAGACAAAAAAAAAAATCGCAGTAATTATAGCAATACAAATGAGTCCATGTTTTGCAAACAAATATTAGAGAGAGACTACAAAGTGTGAAAAGGCAGAGATATAATAAGATTTGAGAAATGGAGCATAAGATTGAAAACAGGTGTTAGACACAAAATTTCTGGTTCTGAGAACCAGAGGTAGGCAGAAGCGTGTGCCGACATTCCTGCACTCAGGAAGCTCCAGATTCCCCCGGCTGGGAAAAGACTGTCTCTGAGTGTTGCAAAGCAAGTGCTCAGCCCATGGGGACAGTCAGGGCCGGGGATGCACACAACCCCAAAGGTCACCCAGTCATCATCACTAGCTGGGTAGACTGAACAAATACACAGTATTAATTTAAGAACAAATAAGCAAGAAATACACAAGCATACGTATAGCACATACAGATATTTTTACATGCACACATATACACATTATTCAATGTTTAATACATAAAGAATGCTTACACTGGCACAATAAGAGATAACCAAAATTAGATTTTTTGTTCTTGAATTAATAGCCCAACATAGTTAAGAAGGATTAATTGGGAAGTCAGTCATTATCATATCCCCCTTATCACCCCTCCCTTCTTGCTCTAAAAGGCCTGGGAACCTCACAGAAGGCACAGGCCACAACCCATTGGCCAAAGAGCTTTAGAAAGAAAAGTCAGATCAGAGTGGAAACCTCTCTTTCCAAACTGAATTTAAAATATGTTGACATTCATCATGAAAGAGTTATTGAAGATCTATTTGAAAAAGAATTTGTGTGTGTGTGTGTGTGTGTGTGTGTGTGTGTGTGTGAAGCACACCATATGCATGCAGGTGCCTGTGGAGGCTAAAAGGGGCATCAGATTCCTTGGAACTATAGTTACAGGTGGTTGTAAGTCCCTGAAATGGGTGCTGGGAACCAAACTCCAGCCCCACGAGACAGAAGTAGTGTTAATTGCTGAGTCATTTTGCTAGCCCCAAGTTTGTCTTGTCTTGAGATAATGCTGCATAAGAATGAAGATCACATAAGAAAATATGTGATATAGTAACCTACTTGTAATGCCAGCCGTGGCTTGTGGAGTCAGGGGATCCCTGGAGCATGTTGGCTAGCTAGACTAGCTGAGTCAGCAGACTTTGGGATCAACAAGAGACCTGTTTCAGTTCATAGGACCGAGAACCACGAGGAAGACA